CCCCAAAACCCCAAAACCCCAAAACCCCAAAACCCCATTTTCAGTTAAATTTATAAAATTCATAAACCAAAATGTCTAGCTTAATTTTAGGAAGAAAGAGTATTGGAAGCAGGTCAAACAAATCTGGCTCATCAAAAAGAAGTATGAAGATCAGCAGTAGATTTTTGAAGCCGACAATATCAAGTGTTCTGAAAAGAAAAGAGTTAGGGATGATAAATGAGAGCGATAAAAATGAGAACTTAACGGAAAATAATCCTAAGATTTTAAAACCTCAGAAGAGAGATAGTCTAAGAGCGAAAATATAAATAAAAGTTCATTAAAGTCAGCATCAATACTGAGGAATAAACATTTCAGCCCTACTGTTAATCCAAAAATTCAAAAGGCTCCAAGAAGGATCAATAAACCAAGGAAGCCAAGTATTGTTAATAATAAGGAAAATAAATTGGCAACTTCTATTTCAAAGGGTGAAAGCTTGAAAAGGCCAAGGCAGCAATCTAAGATAGAGGGGCTTGATTCTATTGAAGAAATTGACTTCAAATTCCTTATCCCAGAGACTTTTGCAAAGAAAAGGGATAAAAAGTGTGTTGAAAAGGTTAAGGAATCAAAGAAGATTGAAGAATTGTCCAGTAAAGAACTGTGAGATATAACCAATTCAAATTATTATGCTATTCAAAATTCTATACAGCCGAGATGTGTCATTGGGAAAACATCTGCAGCGAGGAGTAGTATAAGTCTTCTTCTGAGTGATCCAGGAAGTGAGGAATCAACTCCTATTACCACACCTTATAAAATGATGATTGACAATAAAGAAAATAGCAAGGATGGAACTCAGAATATTGAAGATCTTACCAATAAAATAAAAAAACTTGAAGAAAATGACATATACTCCAAGAATATGGCACTGGAAGATGAGTATTCTGGTAACAATGAATTATTAGAAGGTATTTCTCAGATTGGTGGAAGTGAACTCCTAAAGAAAAATCTTGAAGATCAAGAAATGTCCCTAGTCAGAATAGATAAGCAACAGAATGAAGAACAACAAAATGAATGAGTAGAAAAGGAAGATATTATCAAAGAAGGCTTAAGTAAAGAACAAGATCAAGTTAATGAAATAGCTGAAACAGCTGAAATAAAAGAACCTGAAGCAATGATTGGACAAGGTTTTAAAATATAGAGAAAGATGCAAATTATTCAGCTAGATTTCAAAATAAAAGTGAAGATTACGGATCATTGACTGCTAGTTTACTACAAACTACGAATAATGATGATAAAATTGAAAGAAACAAAAAATCTTCTGACCAAGCTGAAAATTCATTAAAAACTGATCAAGGTAATGCTGATTATTAACAGTTAGGATCTAAGCTTTCTCTCTGAATTAGATCAAAGAGATCAAGAAATAAACAAAAGAGAAGAAGACGCTCTAATAGAACCAAGACTACCTACGATCATATTGAAATCTATAAACAAGATTGATGGGACGAGGAATGGTTTAAGAACAATGAGGTATGGACTAGATCCAGGAAAAGAAGACACCTAGCTCAAAACTAATTCATAGCAATTTTAATTCACTAAGTAATAATTCAGGAAAAGTGTTAAAATTAGGGGTTTTGGGGTTTTGGGGTTTTGGGGTTTTGGGG